ATCATTAGGTACTACAGTTAGTCCTTGAGTTACGACCATGATTCAGCCCAAAATTTATGTTGCTGTGAAAAATGTGTTGTTTGTCCCTTTTTACGACTTTTCTTGTCACAGTTGTTAACTGAATCATTGCATTTGTTAAGTTAGTAATATTAAGTGAATCTGGATTTCTCATTGATTTTGCGTGTCATAAAGTTGCAAAAGCTGATCACATGACTAGGACACTGCAGCTGTCATAAATATGAGTCAGTTGTCAAGCATCTGAATTTTGATCATGTAATCATAGAGGTGGCTGCAATGGTCATAAGTGTGAAAAACAGTTGTTAGTCACTTTTTTCAGTGCTGCTGTAACTTTAAATGGTCACTAAATGAACTGTTGTAAGTCGAGGACTACCTGTAAACCTATGTGGAAGAAAGGAACAAAAAGAAAACCTATGGAAGAAATTGCCATCAAAGGTCTTTGCAAAGAAATAAATAAATATGTGGAGGCAATATGCTGACTCTGTAAACTGCTTAGAGAGGGCTGTAAAGCACTATGAAGCAGTATATAAGTCTAAGTGCTGTTGCTATCTTCAATTTTTTTTTCTTATCAAAGTTCTGTTTGAGAAAGAAATATGATACTGACCATTCAAGCGATAGACCCAAATGTGTATTTCAATACCCAAGGAGCAGTGATGATATTCTAAAGGTTCGGCCCAGTTCTGGCATACCAGTAGCGCCAAAGATCAGCCGAGACTGAACCGGTTCTCTCTACGAGCTGCTGTTGGGCCCACCCGCCTGCCTGGGCTCCCATGCTGACCTTTATTCCCTTCTTTTGAAGCGAGCTGCTTTGCGCGGCACACATTGCCGCGCATCAGCTGTTGAAGCTACAGGGATTCCAGGAGGTGAGTAGGAAAGCCTCTGTGACCGCGCAAAGTGTGTGTTTGGCATGTGCAAAGTGTGCGCATGCACGCAAAATGCGCCCACAAGCCATGCCCACCAAACCGGTGGTAAACTTCTTTGAAACCCATCACTGCCAAGGAGCCAGTCCTCCGCCCATCCCTTAGGTACAAGATTATGGCTTCCTGCAGGGGGTGCTTTTCCTGCCTTTATCTGTGGAAAATGCCAGCTCACACAGGGCCTTCTTATGAGCACAGGGTTTCTTCAGCAACTGACTGCACTGCCACGGATGAATCATTAATCTGAGATCACAACATGACACAGAAAGAGGAGGGACTGTTCACTAGTCCTTGTGTGTTGAGATCCACATGTGACTGAATCAGCGAAACAGAGCTATGTCTCATGTACTTATCTTAAGTCTTCTTTTTTAGCCTTATCAGCCTTATTCTTAATTATGCTTCCTTGCAGGAATATGCTGGCAAATACTTAAAAGAATTTAGCTATATTTCTACCTATCATGCAATTTTGAAAAGAGGTATGTTTGCACTGAATGATTTTTTCTTTTTTTAAAATCTAGGGTCATTACCCCCCCGCCCCCCCCCAAAAAAAACACAAACATTTTAGCTGTTAGCATGAGTGGATCATACTCAAGCTTGACCTGTCTAGTAAAATTATCTTAACTAGTTTTATACAGAGAATCTCTGCAGCAAAACTCTGACAGAGTGCCAGTTCTTCATGCGAAGGATCAAGTAGCAAGTGACATGAAAGATGCCAAGAGGCCAAGATGCTACCTGGCAGAGCAGAACCTCAGTGCAGGTTCATATAAAGCAGCTTCTTATATCTCTTCAAAATGGAAGGATGACATTTCTTTCTTTCTTTCTGCAGGCTTGTGCTTGTCCTTCGTGCTAGGACAATCACATCCAAAGTAATACAAGGATTTCCCCTGTATTGGTTATGGTACCAGAAACAAGCTGACTGGCTTGAATTAATCCTTTCCAAATAAAGGCATTTCAACTAACAACTCTTAGTTTAGCAACTCTTCAAAGTTACAGAAGCATCGAAAAAAGGCTTCAGGGAAAAAGTTTTCAGTTGTCTTCCCCCCCCCCCCCCCCCCCCCAAAAAAGCATCTTTGGGACTACCGTTGGTTATCATGTTTTTGTTTTTCTTGGAGGGGCTTTGAGTCAGTGTTGACTACTGTCAAGTACCTAGACAAATCCCTGCAGCTTCCTTGTCAAGATACTCAGGAGTGGCTTACTACTGCTTCTTTCCTGGGACTGAGAAAGTGGTTGGCTCAAGATCACCCAGTTGGCTTTGTGCCTAATGGTCTCTTGGTTCTAGTCTGGTGCTTTAAACTACTATATCAAACTGGGCTCTTTATCACTGATATGCTACAGCACTATTCCCATTGCACATTATTAGAGGCCAGGGAATCTAATTACCAGAAACTAAATTTACCATATTGTAAATTTATTTTACAAAAATATAAAAATCCCTCTTTGGATTGCAGTGTCGGCCAATATAACAAAAGTAATTTTTAAAGGAGACAGACATTTTCTATATTATATTCCAATGCTAAAAAACTTCCCAAGGCAACATTAAAGAATTATGTGCCATGAAAAACAAATAATATTACAATTAAGGTGCAATACTTGACCTTTCAGCTTCAAATTAACAACATCATAACCTAATCAGAATAACAGTGATTTTACTGCCCACCAAAATCTCATCTAGATACTCTTGGAGAAGAATTCCTTTAAATCATTTTCTTCTGCAGAAAAAGTTTAATTTTGCATTTTGACCAGCATTTTTTATTGATAAGAAGAAGAAATATAGCAGGACCTTGGAAGAGAATTACACTGTACAAACAATTTCATGTAAGATAAAGCAGTAATATAGATTACTGCTTAGATATCTTTACTTTTTGGGGTGTCAAATCTATTTTTTCAGGACAAAGGAGGCACAAAAACAAATATATATGTATGTGTGTAGAAATCACAGGGAAAAATAAGCATTTCTCCCCCGCCCCCCCCCCATTAACCCCTATTGATGCCAAGTAGAAACCCACCATCATGGCAGCAGTATAATGTGCTTCCAAGCAATTAAATTATAAGGTTAATTATATGGCTACAGTAATATGTACAATGATCTTATACTTCCTTTATTTCGCTTACCCAGATGTAAGAAGCCACGGAAAACAACTTCCTAATTTTATATAAACAGGTATAAAAATAGTCTGGGAGTTAAAAGAATTGCAAAAATAAATAAATAAATAAAACTGGTCAACTGGTTAGGATATCTATTTTGTTTTGCAAAACAAAAGCACCTGCATAAATATTGACTGACTAACACTACCTGTGGCAAACTTCCACAGGAGACAATTTATGTAGTAACTTGGCTTTTATATACTTTGGGCTTTATCACAATTCTGCAGCTTGGAATCCAGCCTTGTAAAGATTATGTGAAGTAAAATGGAGTTTTGTTCCAACATTTATGCTTTAGAAACACAATGGTTAATAGAAAATGAGCCATACAAGTAGGGCTGAAAAATCTTCCTAGCGGAAGCTGGGCTCATGTCACCTTATCTGAAGATGCAGACAACCAGTCAGCTAGATGAACAACCTGCTTTTCACATCAAGACTTGAGGCCACAGTTTACTGCACCACTTAAAATCCAAAGGGAGTTCTCTGTCTAAATAAAGACTCAACAAACAGGGAATCAGGCAGGTTTTGAGATGTTCCTTTGGCTTGGCAAGCTGGGCATTCAGGTGAAACGTTAGCTTTCCTAAGTGTGTTTGCAAGCCTAAACAAAGGAAAAGCACTTAAAAGACAACATGGCTGAAAATGTGCAACATTTTCAATATCCAACAGTGTAAGAGTAACATATATTCAAATCAACTGCCCCTCCCGCTCTCCAGATTCTCTCTTTCTGTCCCTCCTGCTCTCTAAATTCAGAAGTTTTTTTATTATTTTAATAATACAAAAAGCATGAGATCAAGTATGATCACAAAATAATTACAGGTGTGAAATGGGTGTTTATATTGAGTTCTAAGCATATTTTAAAGTTCAGCTTTTTGTAGGTTTGTCAAAATTGTTTTGTAAAATGGAAAAGCAGCTGTAGAAAATGAGATCTAAACATTATGAGAGCAACTGAGAAAGTGAGAAGCAATCTTCCAGCATGTCATTTGGGTCTTTCCTTAGAATAACCATTCCTGGGCTTGGTTAAGGCAGCTTTCTGTCATAAATGGTCTATGTATGTATGCTCAGAAGTGGTTGGGAGTGAAAATCGGAAGGCAGGAAATGTTCTATTTAAACAAGCAGTTGTTAGAATCTAGACTCAGGGTAATAATAAAATATGGATTTAACCGCTCATCAAAGGCTACTACACTGTGGACTTCCTCTTTCCCCCTCACTTTTAGACAAGTGTCAGACCTTTAACCATGAAGGGTCTCCAACATCATTTTTTTCTTGGCTGATGCAAAATTTTATCTCCTTGTAAAAACACCCTAGAAAAAAAATGCATGTTCTTAATGAAGTACTGGATTCTTTGACCTACAAACAGAAATCAAAGCTCCTCCTATTTTGAGTTCAGGAATGAAACAGATTTGAAAATAGTCTGGCAAAATGGCTTTATGAAACAAACTGCAGCTGGATCACAGCGTGAACTGCAACTATTCTAATAGATTTAGCAATTATCTCTGTTGTGGAGAAGCTGTTGATCAATAGAACACATGAAAGCTACATCTATTCCTAGACCAATGTAGTAAAGTGCTCACCTGCCAGAGATCAGATGAAACCTAAGAAAAGAAACCCACCAATTTTACAGAGCCCCCAAAGTCTTTCTTTCTTTCCTTTCTTTTTCTCTCCCCCCGCCCCCCCACCCATGAATGAATGATGAAAAGAAATATTCTGACCATTGTTTCAATCTGACCATAACTCATATTACCCGCAAAGGAAAGGAAGGGTCTTCCGGGGCTTGAATTCATGGGCTAGGGAATTTTAGTTTCATCACTCACAAAGCATCACTGAAATATTCTCTTGCTGCAGTGTTGAATGGGTGATTTGAGAGGCAATGACCATGGAAGAGAAGGGGGGAAAGGGATGGAAGCTTGCCTTCTCAAACTTTACCTCGCACATAAAGGTTTGCTGGAGCAGAGTAACGGGTCCCTGCACTGTTTGTAGCAACACATTCGTATTTGCCTTGATCCGACTCCTCGCTGTTTTCAATTTGGAGAGCCCCTATGTAGAAACAAAACACAAAAGACACTGGTTATAACAAGATGTATGTTACTGCTCTGTACCCTTATTCCAAACATGAACACGAGAGGACAGATGATGCCTATTGCTTCTTGTAGGGTATCCATGCTTGTTACTATAAAGCATATGCTGTGCCCAGTCTTCATAGCTCCATAGTCAAACAAATTATTGGTACCTTTTCAGTTGCTTTTTATGTACCAAATAAATTTCTCCCATATGGAGAAACTATCAAACCCTAATAAACGCAGAGTAAATAAATCAATCCAAAGGAATCTAATCTTAGTTCACTACCTTCCTTTAACTATCTTAATCTATAAAATACACTTCATTCCACAACAAAGTATCATTAATTTACTCTTAAGCCTAGCAATAGAAAAGACCACAAATTTTTCACCTTGAAAAATCCCTTGTTTCTATTGTATTTTACATATAATTATACTGTTTTGTCTACTAACAACATCAACAAGTAACAACATCAGTTGGTAGTACAACCTGAACCTTTGAAAGGCCGAGATACAAAAAGTTTATTTGAAGAATTTCCAGGCCGTATATTTTCTACTCACTATATCCTGTGCCGTTGGTTTCTTGTTCAATGTACTTAATTGTAACATAACTCTTGATATTTCATTGGTTTTGCTGCTTTGAATTTTAAGCTACTTCAAATTTTAAAATACATTTTGGGTGAGACCCCTTCCATGCTTCCATTCCCTTTCTTTAAAAAGGGCCCAAATAACAATCATATCAATCCAAGCAACCAGGCTAAATACTAAACTCTGCCTAATTCACATTACAGATAAATATATTGAAACAGTATTCCTCTTCTTTCTTATCTTGCCACTGTGAATGAACTAAGTCCTATTCTGTTGTCTTCCAGGTTATGGAAGATGTAGATTTAGAATGATAAAGGCAAAAAATAAACAAACATGAATATTTAAAGCAGCCCTGATACTGCTATTCCAAGAATGGGACTTGGTGCTTCTTGGGGAATAAATACTTAATTTGTGATTCTAGAAGTTGAGATTCCATAGATCATAGAAGGCAGCTTTCACTCACAAAAAAATATGTACACTCTTGAACCAAGAGAAAAAGCATTAACCTGTCTGCTTGTCAGAGTCTGAATCCATTTCTGTTTGCCAAAGAAAACAGCGCCATTAACAGAAATTGCTGTTCCTGGCCTCCCACTCTAAGGCATGAGGGTTAAATTCAGTTTTCATATTATTGGAATAAAAGGAAAAATAATGTGAATCAACCACTTTCACCTAAATCATTTACAACAATAAACTGAGACCACAGTATAAGTATGTATCTCAAGAGAACTAATGAAGTTCATTATGTTCTGCTATTTCATAAAAATGATATAAAGAGCCCTCTCTATTGTTGTAAGGTCTGGAAAATAAAAATAAATTGATCAGAGAAGTCTGGCTTCTGCTACCTTCTAGGGGACATTTCATACTCTGTACTTTTAAACAGCCTGAAAGTTTATACCTTGTTGTTTAGGTATTCAAAGTGTGGCAGAAACAATTTTGTGACTTAAAAGATCTGGCCCAGAGAACTGTTTTTGCATGTTGGGACAGTGGACAGTGAAGACTTAACAGTACTTTCTTGAGACTCGTGTTTAGCTTCCTCTTTCTCTATATTTATGTAAATTTATGCCCCCTCCACAAAACTTACATAATAGTAAATTTTAATATTAATTATATGTTATACTTTTTGTACTTTAATTATTGTTACACATTCTGAGTACAAAACAAATATATTATTTGAACAGTATGCCAATAACAATTAGAGGGAAGCACCTGAAAAAGGAGTCCTGATTGTTGGTTTCCTAACTGGGGATAGATCCATATATCCAAGCTGTGGGTAGGTGAGTGTATGTATGGATGATTACAATATTGAGTCCTCTCTCTAGCATAGGTACATGTGATCTACTCTAGAGTGTAAATGACAGATGAAAATCATTTGAGCGGCAATAAGGACGGCTTTGTAAAAGAGGGTCAGGGGGGAAACTGGATTTTCCTTTAGTCTCTATTTTTCTAGGTAGGGCTAGGCTATAAATTAGAAATATCCTGGCTTTTACTGAATCTGCTTCCATTTTAACACAATGTTTGGAAAGTCCGAATAGCAGGAACTGGAAATCTTTTGCATGACTTCATTTCACATAGAGTGCAGGATTACAAGAAGCATGTATTAATTCTGGGCAAATGCTATTTTTTATTTCTGAGTGGATCAAAATAGCAATTCTGTAGAGTTACAGGAGGATAAAATTAGCTACACACAAATGAGAGTCATGCCTGTGTTGCTCTGTAAATATGCATTTCTAATAATCACATGGATGTCATAGAATGACAGCCAAGCATCTTCAAGCCCCATTTATTGGCAATTAGGCAAGAAAGGGAATCAACCCAGCAATTTTCCTATTGAGGCTCATTACAATCCTGCTTAATTGTTTCCTCCCTGAGGTTGATTTTTGACATGTCAGATCTGGACTGAAACTGAGTTTCTGTGATTTATGCAAGGGCCGCAGTCACTGCAAGATCTTTGAACTGAGCAGTTCACAAGGCAAATAGAGGAACACAATTCAGCCACCAATTTGCTTCTTTAGGTATATCGCACATCTAGACTTCAAACACCCTTTTTTAAATTCTACTTTAGAAAGGAGGAAAGAAGGGAGATTTGCAAGCTTTGCAGGAAGCAAAATTGCAAAATTACCAAAGGGTGGCAGTTTCTTAGCAGGGTTAAGCAGTATTAAATTTGTATAACATCGGAAGAATTAGTTGAAAGATTAATCAGCTTTTCTCTGTCAGTTTTTAGGTATTTGTATTTTAAATTCACGTTCCTTTTGCTTTGAACATATAAAATTCATATTAGGGTAGAGAAAAGTGTTAAGCACCTACTGTACTTTAACTGTTTCGCATGTATTTGTTATGCCACTGCTTCATAGAAACATTATCATTGAGTCACTGCACATCTACAGTGGCATTTGGCTGTATCACCAATTCCGGAAGCTAACAGTGCTATCAAATATTGAATGAGCAAGTGACCTGGTGACTACACAGAAGCTTTTGGTGAGGAGGATGGATTGCCTGCGCCAAGTCTGACATGGCAGCACTAACTGCTCCAAGAGAAAAGAAGATCAGAATATCTAATTTTCCATTGTGCTTATTTCCACTTTATGGCAATAGAGAAAGCAGCATTTGATAAAAGAGAAACAAATCACTCCTTCTAAAGGCTCATTTGTTGCAATCTATTGATCATCCCTGAAAACCCGTGTCTATTCATCTATCCTCTTCTCTAATCTGCCAGTCAGCAACTAGAGCCGTATATCTCTGAACAAGCTATCAAAACTCACCCTGACCTTTCAGCCTGGGTCTCACCTGAAAAGCAAAGGGGGAATGTTAAAAGTGACAACATGCCTCACGAATACAGAGCTCTTAGAAAAATGACAGCATCTCTTCACAGGAAAAGTAGGACTCATGGCCAACAGAAAGGTTAGTTTTCAAAACAGAACACCCTGCTTCTCGGGCTACTTTATCTGGTTTCCTTCATACTTTTGCTCAAGAGAGATTTCCTGGGTTTCCCATCCAATGTACCTAGCAACTATGCATAATCGAAAATAAACATTCAACTAATTGCAGGCACAACAATCCATTAGTCTAGTCTCATTTTGATCAAATTAATACATCATGGAAATGCAGCAACTTACCTTTAGGAAGACCTCAGAGCATTATTATTATGTGAGTATAACCTTCCTTCATAAAAATGCTTTCCTCAGTAGCCTGAAGTTTAACAAAAGGTATCAGTCTGACAGAAATCCCGTATGAGATGCCAAGAGGTGGCTCTTGGCACTTAGAAAAATGTCGTCTTTGACATTCAAACAGGACACATGCATTTTAAATAATGTCAGGCAAACTCTTAAAACACCTCATTAGAACTCAGATAGAGAGATTTATGTTTTATGAGATGGATGATTCTCATTACAGCAGTAAGTCAATTCTCTCAAAAAGGATATACCGAACATATGGCGGTTCTGGTGCCAAGTTGTTAATGTTCTCACTTGTTGGTAAGAAACACATGACAGTTAAATGCAGGAAAGCCTCAATCTGGCACGAGTAAAGATGGGACTAGAAACAGGCATAGCTTGGCTACTTAACATGTGGTTTATTGTTTTGCTTGAAGATTTTTTGTAGTTTTAGATAAATAGCTTAAGAACTTATTAACATTACAGCGGATAGTCTTGAATCATTCCAAAGATTGGATGACAATTAGGCCTATACCATTTGGCCACTTAACTCAGATTTTCCACTAAATTCAATTCAAACATTTTTGAAATAACAATCCGCATTTGTTCTAAAAATATTAACACAACTGAAAGCATTAACATCCAGAAACTGAACCAGAACCAAAGACTGTTTTATTAATTTGAAGCAATGATTTAATGAAGACAGACAGGGAAGGAAAAAAAAAACAGCATTGGACAATTGAGAGAGTACAATTTAGCAGAGGTAATAAATTTCAGAGAATTCAGGGATCGGTCAACAGCAGCAGTTACTGAAATTGCAAGAGATCAGGATCACTGTACATAGTACTGATTACAATCTTAGGATCACTTCCAGAAACCACTTTGAGTTTTCAAATTACAAAAATTACACTAGCAGGCTTGACCTATATAGCTGCTACTCTGGAGGTATGCTAAACAACGTAAGATTTAAGATGACCAGATATATGTCGGATTCCTTTACACTCAACAAATCTTTGAGCCCTAGTCACAAGGCTGTATTAAGTTTCAGAGAGAATGGGGCTGGCTGATTGTATCTCTTCCCTCTGCCTTCATATTGAAAGGTCTGGCAAGCTAGACAGACGCACTTATAACCCTCAAAGGAAGTCCATGTTTCCTAAACAACCCTTCAAGAATTATTTTATTTTTAGTTGTTCAGTTTCTGTCAGCAGTAATACAGAAGAAAAAACATCATGGTTATCTTGTG